CCCACCCCCGGCTCTTTCCGATTCCCCTTCCCCTCCGCGAGCCCTTCTCAGGCTCTGTGGCCACCACCCCAGCCGCCCCGCCCAGCAGGTACCTGACTTGGGGTAGGTGATGATGAAGATGTCGTCGTCCTGCACATCAGCGTTCTCTACCATGCGGATGCTCTCGGGTGAGTAGATGCCCACGGGGAAAGGGATGCCCTTGTACCTGAAGTATTCGCCTGACAACTTCTGGCTGTAGGAGTGTGAGGGAGACACCATGAGGACCAGTTGGGGGGGGTGTGAGGACAGGAGTCACTCCTGGAGGGTTGGGGAGGGGGCAGAGGAATCTCAGGGCAGGAGGGAGGGTGAGCAAGAGGTAGGTGAGGGGCGCCCCACTCGCTGGTGGAACCCTGGCAACAAACTTTCCCTGAGCCCCATTTCTTCATCTGCAAGGTGGGAATGGTTTACCCAAACCCCACAACAATCCTATGAGGTCACGGCGATTATTAGCCCCCTTTTATGAATGAAGAAAGCGAAGCACAGAGAGGTTGAGTGACTTCCCCAAAGCCACACAGATGGAGCACTTCCCATCTGTAAAGTGGGGCTGAGCGCTTTCCTCACATTGACTCTTTGCCCCAACCCTTGAGGAAGAGGCTAAGCCACCACCCCATTTTACCAACAAGGAAACCGAGGCCACAGAAGCTATGTGCCCTGCCCACTCCTTCCTGCAAGGCCACAGAATGGCAGAGCCCACCTGTGAAACCCAGTCCAGGGTCACCATGAAGCTGAAACAGTTTTGTTGGCTTTTTTTTTTTTTTTTAAGATTTTATTTTTAAGGGACGCCTGGGTGGCTGAGTTGGTTAAGCGTCTGCCTTCGGCTCAGGTCATGAGCCCGGGACCCTGGGATCGAGCCCCGCATCGGGCTCCCAGCTTGGTGGGGAGCCTGCTTCTTCCTCTCCTTCTGCCCGTGCTCATGCACACACACTCTCTCTCTCTGTCAAATAAATAAATAAAATCTTAAAAAAAAATTTTTTTTTATGTTTAAGTAATCTACACCCAATCTGGGGCTCGAACTTACAACCCTGAGATCGAGAGTCTTCTGCTCTACCGGCTGAGCCAGCCAGGCACCCCGAAGCTGAAATAGTCTCGAGGTTCAAGCCCCTCACTTGAGCTGCCTTTCCAAAACCCCCACGATGGGTCCACAAAGCCATACACGGAAGTA